CCATACCAGTTTTCCGCGGAAACAAGGGCGGAGATAGGCGATGCGCGCACGGTGATATGCGACCAGGCGGGGGAGCTGAACGCGGACCTGCTAGTGGTGGGCTCGCGGGGCCTGGGCCTTCTCACACGGTGAGTAAAAAAAGGAATGGAAGAAAAACAATGAATACTTTCGCCTGTTCCTTCTTCTGAGTGGACTGGAAAGGAGTACGGGAGAGGGAGGCACACCGAGGGGTGGAAATCCTGTTGACTTTGAATTGATCTTGTCCGGCAGTCGAAAATCCCCTCGGTCCTTGAACCAGTCGAAATGAGCAGATGACCGGCATCTCATTCTCTCCTTGCTTCAACTCACCACCACTGCCACCTCGTTTCTCAGAATCCTCTCTCTCTCTCTCTCTCGCTCTCTGCCCTCCCACTCGCCTGCTCTTCCCCTCCTCGCTCCCCGCGACAGCCAACTCCTGGGCAGCGTGTCCAGCTATTGCGTGCACAGTGCACCAGTACCCGTGCTCGTGGTGCGACCCGAGGGGGAGGGCACCAAGTGAAGTGAGCGTCCATCCATACATGCATTACACCCCTCTCCGGGCAGTGCCAGTCAGGGATTACGTGAGGGCTTCAAAGGGGGGCTTCAAAGGAGCAGCGCTGCAGTGGGTAGAGTTGCCTCACTGGCTTGTTTGAGTCGCTGATTTGCTACAGAACATGGTGAATAAAGATGTGATGTACGTGCTAGGCGTATTACAGGTGGGTGATTTGCATATATCACTACGTGTGCAGGGTGCTAGCTAGTCTGAGGAAGGTTGTGCTGATGCAGTTCTGATGTGTGCAGGGTAGTGGCTAGCTGTAGCTGAGATAAATGAGTTTGAATGTGACTTCCTGGACATGCCTGCTCTCTCCAGTGCTTGTTTTAGTGACCATAGAGCATATGTTTTACTAATGTTATTGTGCCTGGATAGGACTTTGATAGTGCTATGGGGTAGCCTGCGTCTGGCACCGGATAGTTGCCCCCTAGATGTGTACGTGCACCCCTGCTACAGGCAGTGAATGCTGAGAAACACCTGACAAGTCGATTAGAATGCATTGACAGGTGGAGAAACACGGGAGGTGCTGGCACCAGCAGCAACTACACCTACAGCAATGAAAAGATTCACAGCACAAGCCATGGAGAACAAAAGTCAGGGAGCTACAAGCAAGTACCAACAGGGAGCCAACCACAATTTCCACAGCAGCAAGGGAATGGTACGGTGCGAACACAACTCCCATACCGTATCTGCCTGCACGACCACACCAGCTCAACGCCCACACGTTCACTACAGCCCGGCGCCGCACACACCTAACACCGCTGAAACCAGTGACCGCCCCACTCACACACCCAACACATCCCCCTCAGCTCACCCACTCTCTCCTCTCCAAGCTCCCACCTCTCGCTTCACGATTTCCAGGCACACATACTTCAGAACCCTGCAACTGGGACCCGTGCAATCCATGCCATCCAATCCAAGCCTGCTCCAATCCGCAACCACCCCTCACCCCTCCTCCCCACCCCTGCTCCTTCCAGGGTCCCCACCTCTCAGTTCAAGTTCCCATCTCACTTCAGGTTCCCCAGGCACACATACTTCAAACCCATGTAGTCCTGCAGCCAATATCAAGGTCCCCCCACACCCCACACCATCGCCGACGCCGCCTCAAGAACCCTCGATCCACATTCCACCTTTCCTCTCACTTGAGGTTTCCCAGGCACACATACTTCAAATCCATATAATCCTGCAGCCCATACCGCGACCCCTCGCGCCCCATGCCCGACTGCTTCACCCCTCCAAACGGCGCCACCTCCGTGCTGATCGCGCTCTCATTCACGCCCACAATCCCCGCCTGTAGCCCCTCCGCAACCCTAAAGCACCGCCCCATGTCCCGCGAGTACACATACGCAGCTAAACCAAACTCCGAGTCATTCGCAATGCGCAGCGCTTCGGCTTCAGAGGAGAATTTGTGAACAGCGGCCAGCGGCCCGAATGTTTCCTCCTGGAAGCACAGGCAGTCCGAAGGAACATCTACCACGAGCGTTGGCTGGAAGAAGCATCCAGGGAGCTTCTCTGGTAGCTCTCCGGCCGGGGCAGAGAGGTAGGACGGGTGGGCTTTAGAGCCTCCTAGCAGCACCTTGCCTCCTCTGCTCACCGCGTCGGCTACATGGCTTTCCACCTTCTCCACTGCTGCTTGGTTGATCAACGGCCCTTGAGTCACCCCGTCCTCGAGCCCAAATCCAACAGTTAACTGCTGCTCCATGGCTGTTTTGACTGCGGAGACGAATTCGTCGTAGATTCCCTCCTGGACCAGCACGCGATTCGCGCACACGCACGTCTGCCCCGCGTTCCGGAACTTCGCCGCGAGCAGCCCTTTCACGGCGACCGCCACGTCAGCGTCGTCGAAGACTATAAACGGCGCGTTTCCCCCGAGTTCTAAAGACACCCGCTTCACCGTCGCCGCGGCGCCCGCCATGAGGCGCCGCCCTACGGCAGTAGACCCGGTGAAGCTCAGCTTCCGCACCTCGGAACTCTCCATAATCGCCTGTCCGATGGGCGGCGCGTCGCCTACAACGATGTTAATCACCCCATGCGGCACGCCCGCCTTCAACGCCAGCTCCGCGAGCGCGAACGCGGAGAGCGGGGTGAGCTCCGACGGCTTCGCGACAACCGTGCAACCCGCCGATAAAGCAGGTGCGACCTTGCGCGCAATCATCGCGAGGGGGAAATTCCACGGGGTAATTACTGCTACTACCCCCACCGGCTGCTTCTGGACCAGAATCCGCCTGTCCGCTAGCGGTGCGGGGATGATATCGCCGTAGGTCCGCGTCGCTTCCTCCGCGTATAGCTGCACGTATCCCGCGGAGTAGTCGACCTCGCCGCGCGCCTCGGCCAACGGCTTTCCCTGCTCCAGAGTCATCAGCAGCGCGAGCTCCTCGCGATTCGCAATGATTAGTTCGTACCACCTGCGCAGCACCGCGGCGCGCTCCTTCGCGGTGCGCGTCGACCAACCAGGAAAGGCCGCGGACGCGGCGGCGATGGCCTGGCGCGTCTCGTCGTACCCGTGATTCGGGATACGCGTTATAAGGTCCCCCGTGGCTGGATTAACTACGTCCATAGTAGGGCCGGCGTCACGAGGCCCAACCCAGCTGTCCCCGATAAGGCACTGGTCGCGGAATAGACCGGCATCCTTAACGCGTTGCAGCGCTTCCGCGGCTCTTGCGGACTTGGTAGCCATGGCGGACGCGGTACCGGCGCTGGCGGATGCGCGGGGAGCGGCGGAGCGGGGAGCGGACCGAGCGCGAGAATCAGCCGCAAAAGTACAGGCGAAGCGAGGCGCGTAGGAGGAACAGGAGGAGAGGGAGGAAGACCTAGCGTGGGAGGAGGTGGCGGCAGAACCAGTGAGAGATAGACGAAGCGACGCGGTCGCTGCGGCACCGGACGATCGATCTGGTGAACGAGCAAAATAAGGAGCTCCGGTGCTGCGGTGCAGACGACGACTGGAAAGCTCCTGGGTTGCTGCTGCTGCTGTTGCTGCGCTGTGGGGTTGCCAGGCGGTGAGAGTTCGCGACGCGACGACGGTGAGCTTCGCTGCTGTAGTTAGCGACTCCGGGGCGAGGAGAGAGCGCGAGGGAGGAGCGGACACGCGCAGCATCTGGCTAGACTGGACGAGGTAGCCCCGCTTGGGGAGGGGGAAGGAAAAAAGTACGCGCGGGGGGGGAGCACAACGCAGGATGCGTGCGAAGCTGGTAGAATCGCAACGTCGCTGGTCAATCAGCTGAAGCGACTTTCAGGGACTTCAAGAATCGCCTGGAAGGAATGCGACAGGAGAGCGCTTAGGCACTACCTGCGTGGCTGGCTGTGCTACTCGTCCCTAATCCGCTAAATGTGGCTCTGACTGGTTCCTAGGTAAAGAATTGTAATTTCTCGAGTCTCTATTTATCTTGCATGGCAAAATCCAAGATCCCGCGCCCATGCATGAGGTGGGCTTCAGCGCCCGACTTGCCCCGCACCCCCACCGAATATGCGCTTTCGGAGTCGAAAACGCGTTACCGAATAAACGAATCTTCGCGAAGCCTCGTCCAGTTTGAAGCTTCGTACACGAAAAAGTGTTGGGTTGGTGGAGCTGTTGTCATGAAGTTGTTGGCGACGGAATTACGGGGACCAGTAGCGGGGGGAGGACAATTTCCCCCTTCTATTCGACCGTGTTGAGGTGGAGTTCGGCTGAGGGGGTGGTTCGTCGCAGATGCGCACACGCGGCAAGGATTGCGCGTTGACACGCTGGGAAGCGCCGAAGCTGACACGGCAATGTGATTGTCCGCAGTACAAGCCGCTCCACCAGGAAAGAATTTCTCACCGACATATTTGATGCTCCTGGTCTGGTGTGTCTACACTTGCTGTCTCGGTTTTACATCAGCTTCTATATCCATTCACACAAATTGGCTCTATCCACAATAAGACTTCCACATGTACATGTAACCTGGTGTTAGATTCGGCAAATTTATACGAAGGCAGCGACCGCTGCCATGATGCCCACCCCTGCGAGCAGCAGCAACAGATCCAGTATGCTTGACCCCTGGGCGCCTGAATGCTTCTCCACAAGCTCCAGCATCGCAATGTATAAAACCGTACCTGTAGCCCACCAGGAGTGTCAGCAAAGGACAGCAAAAGGAGGGGCACGAAGGTAAGGGAAAGAAAATGGGAGGAGTCTCAGGCAACAATCGGAAAATGGTAGCACGACTGCAGCATTTTTTTTGTTTTAAAAGAAGTGGAAATTTAATTAAGTAGTGCCAAGCCATACAGCCACCCAACCCACACAGCCATCCCTGCCCATACCTGCACCGAACGCTTGTGTGACAACGGCAACGAGCATGGCTCGGGGACCAGCAAGGGAGTTGGCAAGCATGCCTACGACGATGCCGGTGGGTGTCATGGCGCAGTATAGCAGCAGAATGGCCGCCATCTTGGGCACCGGCACACTCTCCCTCACAAACTGGAGCCAGAGGGGGAGAGGATGGGGAGTGGGGGTGAGAGGGGGGAGGGGCAAGGCAGAGGTGATAGTGGGGAAAGGGGGAAGGAAAGGAATATTCCTTGTATGAGGGTTGCTTGTAGTTGTGAGATCAGTGGCACGGGGTTAAATGAGTGAGATCTGATGGCTCTAAGGGAGAATAAAAGTCAGGCAGCTGCTTGCTAACAGCAACGACAGCTGCTAGGGGAAAAATAAGAATAAAAAGCAACAGGGGCGTCTCAGGAACCAACCTGCACGCCAACAGCAAAGGCCTCGGCCCACTTGTGAGCAATGAGCGCAATGATGAGCCCCACCGTCCCCTGCAGCGTCCCCGACGTGCCCAGTGCCGCGCCCACGACAAACGAGTGCATTGAGAGCAGCGCAGTGAGCAGGTACGAGAGCCCGCCCCTGGAGGGGAGCACTATGTGGTGGTGGTGCGTGGTGTGCGTGTGACGGTGCAGACCCGCACAGGCGTCGTCCTCTGTGCCGCCCTGCACCCCTCTCCACCGCACGCCCACCTCGTCTTGCCACTCGTGCGCGTGGTGGTGGGCGGAACTGGCGTGTGGCCCCTGGGCATGGCCGTGACTACTACTGCTGCCGTGCTTGTGGCTGTGATCATGCGTATGCGCATCCTGATCATGCTCGTGACTCTTCCTCTTCTGCTTCTCCCGCCCCTGCTGCTGCTGGTCGGTATGGTGGCACACGCTATCTCCATGGCCTTGGGAATGGCAGCAATCCCCAGGCTCCTCATGCGCATGCACCTGCGAGTGCTGCGCCCCATGCTGGGGAAGTGAAGCGAGCGCATGCTTGTGATCATGCGCAAGCGAGTGTGCATGTGAATGTGCATGTGAATGTGCATGTGAATGTGCATGTGCCAGCAGCCCGTCCTCCTCATCATGCTCATGCTCATGGGGATGTTCATGCTCATGCGCATGCACATGCATGTGTTCGTCTTCACTGCCGTGATCACTCCCCTCCCCATGCCCATGCCCATGCCCATGCCCATGACAGTGCTCGTGCCCATGCCCATCGCCATGGTTCTGTTTCCCACACTCTCCTCTGTGCCCACGCCCTCCCAGCACCGCCACACCCGTCCCTTCCCCTTTCTGCTTCTCTCCCTCTCGCTCCCTCCCCCTCTCCCTCTCCATCTCCATCTCCCTTCCCAGCAGCAGCGCCTCCCTCAACCCTAACTGCGGTGAGGCGGCCACATGTGACGGCAAGTGCGAATGCACATGCGAGGGCGCATGCGCGGAGACAGGCCCTAGAGCGCCAGGCGCAGCAGCAGGGGAAGCAGAAGGTGGCAGAACAAACCGACTGGGGGAAGGAGACGCGTAAGGAGACACAGAACCGGCAGCAAAACCGCCAGCAAAGGATGACGACAATCCCGAGGGGCCGAGCGGGGAGGAGGAGGATGCAGACGCAGCTCCATACATCGCTGCTTGCATGGCAGACTGTGGAAGGCCCGCCAGAGCAGCAGCAGAGCGCATTCTAGTAGGCGACGGGCACTGCACAGGCCCGTATGACGCCACTGGTTGCACCTGCACGTAGCAGATACTGCCTCCCCCGAGTGACTCCGCCCCTGCTGCAACCGCCATCATCTTCTGGATCTCCTGGGGGGAGGGGGAGGGCGAAGCGGCGGAAGAGAAGCGCTGCTCCGCGTACCACACTAGAATGAACCCCAACGCGCACAGGAGGTACGGGATGGGGAACGGATCGTTGTCGTCTGCTGCAGCTGGATCCGCGGAGGATAGGAGTGGCTGGTTGCCGGGACTGTGGCGAAGGTGATCTCGCCAGGCGTATGTGACTATATTGAAGGCTGAGGGCGGCGACCAGTCTAGGGCTTGGAAGCCTTCTACGGCGTCTGGGAGCATGTGCAGGAGGCCCACGCCGAGAAACACGCCGGCGGTTAGGAAGCGCATGTGGTCTATGAATCCTTTCTGGAAAGAGGAGGGATTGACAGCGGAATAGAAAAATACGGGGTCCCATTGAGTATTCATGGCCATTGGATACGAGGAGCATGAGAACAAATGGTAGAATGAACATTTGAGTGTATAGCTATTTATTAATTTAGATGTTTTTATTGTTCAGATGTGGTCTTGGTCTATAACTGACGGGCTCGCGCAAAGAGCACCGCTGACAAACAATAGCAATGGCGCCAATCCGGACCGGAATCCACGGGCCATTACTAACCCGCGTCTGGTCATTTCCCATGTTGATTCGCAGCGGCAGGAATCCCCCGACCAGCGACACCACGATGACCGTGAAAAACGCGGCCACCTTAAAGCGGAACACATCCTCGTCCACGCTCCCGTCGACGCCACCCGCATCGCCACCACCACCTCCATTCATGCCGCTCGTGAACGAGCGGACAGACGACCCCAAATAAAATCTACGAAACGCGAAACACGGTGCGAAACGCGAAAAGCTAGTGGAACCCGATAAGGTAATGGGAAACCGGCAACTTACTTAATCCGCGAAACAGCTACGAATTCCGGGACGCGCTTAGAGCGAGTCAAGCAGCAATAGAGAAATTATAAAAAAAACGCTTATTATTCGACAACTAATCGGTGACCAAACGGATGGAGTATTTTTATAAATGTAACTTTATTTCTTTGGTGAGCAAATTCCGACAGCTAAGCAGCAGCGGTAGGAGAGTCAGTCGACTAAGACAGTAGTACCCACGTTCGTTCTAGACTAAAGAGTTCAATGGCGAATTCGCACAACGGTGAAATGGAGAGCAACGGATGGAACGGAAGGGGAGGGAGAAATGGAAAATATTCGCACGAACAGGGAGGGAAGGTGAAGCACGGTGCATGGAGCGGCGTGGTCAAGGTGACGTCCTCGTTATGGGGAAATGGGACAGCGGTTGCAGTACGGTGGTACTTGTTTCCAGCTGGATGAGAAAATAAGTTGCCTCAAAATAGAATTGACTACACTTGAAGAAAACTAATCATGCGGATACTATTGCAGCAATTATTTTCCAGCAAGGAAAAAAACTTAAGATGGATGGGAATGCCTCGATATATTGAGAGACGTAAGCATGTGTACACAGCTCAGTTATAAGCCACAGATGGCACTTGTCGCTCCTGACACAATCTAAGAAGACGACTTTGACTGGAGGATGCGTTCTGACACGCGGTTTTGGGCGTGAAAATCGACGGTTCATCTCAGCTATCCGCCTGGTTACCGGGGCAGGTGCACCCAGGGCAGGGGGGCCCCTCTCAATTTCTGTGTTCTCCCCCCTACACACCCCACACCTCTCTCCATGATAAGGATGATCATAAATGCTGCTCTGTTCATACTTCACCCTTGCTCACCGCTAGAATCATAAGGATCTGCTCGGCTTTCAGCCACGCGTCTCAGCAGCCATCGCCGACGCCGACGATACACACAACCGCAGAGTTTCTACAAAATCAACGCCTCAGGATGCGTGCGCCGTTGTAGAAACTACCATTCTACACCCTAAGCAGGGATATCCGGCCCTAATGGCTTCCGCTACGCTCCAGCATCCGAAACCCGTGCCTTCGAGAAGTGTCAAGAAAGCAATGTCACCTGAAACAACATGTTCCAGCGACCGAGCCTCCTCCGATTCCTCATCCCATTCGACACTCGTCTCCTGTTCTCCCTCCGCTTCCAGTCTATCGCCTTCGCTCCGCCGCCGCTTCCCGTCGCCGGTCCACGCGCTCTGCGTGTTTCTTCTCTCGCTGTCCGTGGCCGGTCGTGTATGCGAAGCGCAGGACGAGACGAGCGCGGAGCTGCGCTTCTTGGAATGGCTGCACGGGCTGGGCGGCAAAGAGGTGGGCCCTCCCAACGGTCATCTCCCTCCTCATCCTCAACGGGCCCCATTCCCCATTTTATATGGAACGGGTGCCTTCTACTTCGCCGTTACCTTTCTCTCTCCGTTACGTCATCTCGTTTGGCCCGTCCCGCTCTTCCCCTTTTCTCCCCCTCCCTCCCTCCCACCCCCCGCCACGCTTCTCCCCCCCCTCCTCCTCCTCCTCCTCTCTCCTTCCCCGGGGTTCCTTCCCCCAGGTGCTTCCGCAGCGCGCCAAGCTGCGCATCAGCCGCGCACAGGGCGGGGAGCGCGGCATGGCGGCGGCCGCGGACTTCGCGGCGGGGGAGGAGGTGGTGTCCGTGCCGTTTAGAGCCGCCATAGTGGCGGAGGAGAGCGACCCCGAGCCGTTCAAGGAGTGCGGCATGCACATGGTGCTGATGGCGAAGCTACTGCGCGAGATGAAAAAGGTGCGCGGGAGATGAGGGTGTGGAAGGTAATTTTGACGCCCTCAGGTGGTGAGAAAGAAAGTGGGTGGAAAAAAAAAAAAAAAAAAAAAAACACGAGCAGCCTCAAAGAAGGTATGGGGGAGGTGACACGCGGAGAGCGAGGAGGGGCGAGCGAGATGGGGCGAGAGGAAGCAATAGGGGCTTGAAGAGACATGAAGGAGCGAGAAGGGGCGTGAACCAGAGGCAAAAGTTCCCTCCGAAAGAAGCTCGACCCTTTTCATGCTTACACCTCATCCTTGTTCCCCGTTCCTTCCCTGTCCATTTTCTCAGTCTCCAGTCGCCCCTGGTCTGGCCCCTGTCACGCCCAATTGCCCCCAATCTCCCCTTATTCCCCCCCCAAGTTTCCTCCAACCTCCGCCCTGCCGCCCCTGCCCGCCCCACCAGGGCAACGCGTCCGAGTGGGCGGCCTTCACCGCCATTCTCCCCTCCTACATCCCCCTGCCCTGGCTGCCCTCGCCGCACCACCGCACCACCACTACCACCACTACCACCACCAGTGACAGCACCAGCGCCAGCAGCAGCAGCAGCAGCACAGAGGCAGTGGCGGCAGCAGCGGCAGCAGGGCTGTGGGAGCTGCAGCTGCCCAGCGCAGTGGTGAGGGGAGCAGCACTGGAGGCATACATGCGGGATGCGTATAAGAGGAGCGACAGGGCCGTGCTGGGCGGCGCCACCTACGGGGACTTCCTGTGGGCCTTCGCCATGTACCTGACTCGCCATTTTTCCCTGAACCTGCCTCCCAGGTAAGCCACGGTGTGGAAACTCAAACAGAAGCCACCTATTGCGAGTTCCTGTGGGCCTTTGCCATGTACCTTACTCGCCACTTCTCGCTCGACCTGCCTCCCAGGTAAGGCACGGTGTTAAGACCCGAACAAAAGCCACCTACGGCGACTTCTTGTGGGTCTTCGCCATGTACCTCACCAGACACTTCTCCCTGAACCTGCCTCCCAGGTAAGCCACAGTGTGAAGACCCAAACAAAAGCCACCTATTGCGAGTTCCTGTGGGCCTTCGCCATGTACCTCACCAGACACTTCTCTCTCAACCTGCCTCCCAGGTAAGGCATGGTGCTGACTGCTGAGTAGATTCAAACAGAAGGCAGTTACGGCAAAATCCGGTGGGCCTTTGCCATGTACATGGCTCGTCACTTTCTCTGAATCTGCCTCCCGGGTAAGCACAGGAGATGAATACGGCATGGCATGGCATTGCATTCAGGAAGACAGTGTAATCTTCACTGACGGATATAGTGCCAGACTCCTCCGGTGGGCCTTTTCCATGTACCTGACTCGCCACTTCTCCCTGCACCTGTCGCCTGGGTAAGGCATGGTGGTTCGCTTGCGATGCCACCTCATTCAGGTGTTCGCGCTATGTGAATGCCACATGAACTCGCATGTGATATACATATTGTGATACCAGTGAGCCTTCACCACGTCTAGCACCCCACACTTCTCCCTCCCTATCTTCCCTATTTCGAGGCGCCCTGAAAATGCACTCCTGCACCCTGCTATTCTTCCTTCTCCCTTGCTTCCCTGCTCATCCCCCACCAACCCCCGCAGCACCATTCCTACCCTTCGGCGACATGCCGAATCACAGCTTCCAGGTGCCTTTCCCCAGGCCATAAGTTACACAGTCACCTCTCACCCTTATTCTCCCTCCTTGCTCGATCCCCAGAGACCCACGCGGCACCATCAGCATGTTCCTGCCGTTCGGAGACATGGCAAAGAAGGGCCAACCCGTCTTTGAGACCTACTGGAACGGAACAGCCCGTACAAAGCCGTCTGTGCCAGGTGTTTCTGCCTTTCCAGGGGCGTTCACCGCGTCCCTCACCCAGCGCTTCCCTCATTCCCGCCCTCCCTTCCCTTCCTGCTGAACCCCCAGCGATCCCCACGGCACCATCAGCATGTTTCTACCCTTTGGAGACATGAAGAATCATCGTTTCAGGGACGAGTGGGACGACGGGGATGTGGACTGGGTGGAAGGCGTCTATGCCGACTGAGCAGTGCTCGTCTCCCTGCGCCCCGTTTCCATGGGCCTTCGCCACATCCCTCACCCAACACTTCCCTCCTTCCCTCCCCCCCTCCCTCCCTTCCCTCCCTCCTTCATCCCCCAGCGACCCCCGCGGCACCATCAGCATGTTTCTACCCTTTGGAGACATGGCGAATCATCGTTTCCGGGACGAGTGGGACGACGGGGACGTGGACTGGGTGGAGGGCGTCTATGCCGACCGAGCAGTGCTCGTCTCCCTGCGCCCTGTTATCAAGGGGCACCCCGTGTTTGAGACCTACTGGAACGGGCCTAACGAGGCGTTCTGTGTGTTCCAGGCGTTTCTCCCGGAGCCGAACCCGCATGATACTGTGACGCTGTTTCAGGGGTTGCGGCATGGGGTGGCGTGGCTTCTGGGGTTTCTGCAGAGGGAGGGGAGGTTGTCGGACTCTGTTCTGGCTGGTTATGCTGCTGATGCCAGTGCTGCTGCTGGTGGTGTTGCTGCTGCGGGTGCTGACGGTGGTGCTGGTGCGGGCATGCCCATTCCCAAGGCGTTTGAAGACGCCATGCTGCGGCTGGCTGTGGCGGCAGCAGCAGAGGTGGAAGGCGCGTACGAGCAACACAACCACGGCAGCAGCAGCAGCGACGGCAATCAGGACACCCCACAGGAACCGCAGGACCCACAGGAAAGCAGTGACGGCAGGAACTGGGCTGCCACGGCGCCCTTCCCCCCGCTGCCTCTCGGCTTCTCTCTGCCTGCTGACGGGCGGGACTCCACAGCCATCTTTGATGCTCCAGAGGCAGTCACGGTGGGGCGGAGATGGAAGGGCAGCAGGCGCGCGCTCTCGGCCTTTGCTGCTGTGATTCGAGAGATGCGGAGGCTGGTGATGGGAGGCGGGGGTGCGGAGAGGGGTGAAGCTGGAAAGGGTAGTGGTGGTGGTGCTGCTGCTGCTGCTGCTGCTGTATCCAAACACAGGGGCAGCAGTGCATGGGGCTGCACATCAGCAGAGGAGGCATCACTAGGCCCGTCAGCAGCAGCAGGATCAGCAGCGGCTGTGTTCCTAGCACAGATAGCCCTGGTGGAGCGATGCAGGGAGATGCTACACGCACTGCCCACCACACTACAGCATGACCTCTCGCTGCTTGCTCACGTCACAGGTAACATTGCTGATGTTACTGGAGAGCTCGCTGCTGCAGCGGGGGAAGCAGGGGGAGCAGGGGGGGCGGACGAGGGAGGTGGTGCTGCTGGTAGTGCTGCTGCCACTGACAGGGAAAAGCAGGGTGGTTGTGAGCGAGGGGGTGACGGGGCAGGAGGTGATGATAGGGTGTGTGAGTGGAAGGATGGTTCTGATACTGGCGACAGCAACAGAGAGTCCAGCGGTGGCAGCAGTGACAGCAGTGGCAACAACAGTCAGGGTGGGCTGTCTGCTGCAGCATACGAGCTTTCCCTGCGCTTCAGAATCGGGCAGAAGCGGTTGCTCCGGCACCTCGTGCAGGAATGGCAGGGGGATTAAACTTCCCATGTGCTTACCATTAGCAGGTGAAACAAAAACGTGTCAGGCAGAAACGGCTGTTCTGGAAAGGCTAGTTGGATTTACGTCATCCGGGTGCTTTGCAGTTCGAGTGTCAACAGAAGCTTTAATCATTCACCATGGAAAGACATGGTTAATCGCAAACGTCTGCGGTTGGTGTCGGTCCATCGCTTTCGTTCGTGTGCCTGCAGCCTGACCATATTCTGAGTAGATAGATCATAAGCAGTATCTATCCAGACACGGAGCTCACGCACTCAGACTGCTACCATATTCACTTCACTGTGCCTGGTCTTTCCCTCTGCCCCTCTCTGACAGATTCTGGTTACCATATGAGCCTGCTGCTGGTGCACCAAGCAACATGCTGTTGAGTTGACTACCTGTAGTCTCAGAATGTATTTCACAGTGATCTGTTCAGCTTAGTATCTACGGTATAAGCAAGTGGCCCTTCCGATAATACTGTATCATTTAAGGCGTCACACACGGTGACAATTGTCGAGAGAAAGAAATGAAACACACAAAGCTAGCCACCTACAGTAAACTGGCTGCATAATCACATTCTGGGGCACCAAGCTCAGGTACCGACTTACCAGAATGTGATTATACACCTGGCTCCATGCACACTCACTCACACACACACACACATGTGTGCACGAGCCAAACACACTCTCAACTCAACAACACACAAAACTTGACGCAGCAGCACAGTCTGTCTTCTCAATGCTCCTCCGCTCCACCCATCCCTCCCCTCCATCCTCTGTCCTCCATTCTCCCTTGCTGTAACAATACCAACAGACATCCGCTGTCCCTTCACGCCCCTTCCCACGTCACAGATTACAGCACTCTGTCTGAGCTGAGGCATAGGCCTCAAACGTGAAACCGCTGGGGCATCGGAGCCTGCAGCTCCGTACTGCATTCCACACTGCCCTCACTGCTCCCATCACTGCCACTCCCTCCCCCACTCACACTCGTGCTGCCACTCCCATTCCTCTCCCTGTCCATCCCCAGTCCCCCCAACCCATCACTGTCACTCCCATTTTCCACTGAGCTGCCACGGCTGCTACCATCATCACACTCAACCCCACTGCACCGTCCCTTCTCACACCCCTCCTCATCCACCTTACTCGTCCCCCTCCCCTCCTCCATCCTCCCCTCTTCCCCTCCCATCCCCTCCTCGTCCTCCCCTCGCCCTCCAAACACCTCCTCATCAAAACCTCCCTTCCCTCCTCCTTCCTCCTGCTCTTTCAACCTCTCCACAGTGGTGTCAAACGGCCGGGGGCCAACGAGGGAGAGAATGACCGGGAGGGCAAAGAGGCCGTGCCAGAGGCCGAGGGAGACGATCATGGCAAACATCTTGAAGAATGACTGGAAGACAAAGGACTGCGCCAGGCACATGGGCAGCACCGCCAGGAACATGAAGAAGCCCCCATTGAACACCGCCACTCCCAGATGGGCTAGCGCCTTGCGCGCTCTTTCATTCCGTGAACCGACCTGAGGGGGAGTGAGGCGGAGAGGGGGTGTGGACGGCGGGGGGGACGAGGGGCACGGGGAGGGGGAGGGCGGAAGAGAGTTGGTTGGAAGGGAGTTTTGGAGCAGGAGAGGCCGTGCCAGAGGCCAAGAGAGATGATAATGGCAAACAACTTGAAGAAGGACTGGAAGACAAAGGACTGCGCCAGGCGCATGGGCAGCACCGCCAGGAACATGAAGAAGCCCCCATTGAACACCGCCACCCCGAGATGGGCTAGCGCCTTGCGCGCCCGTTCATTGCGCGTGCCGACCTGGAAGGAGGTGAGAGTGAGGGGGGGTGTGGACGAGGCGGGAATGAGTGGGAAAGGGAGGGGGAAGGGGGGGAGAATGGCGGCTAATGGGGAGTTTTGGAGCAGAGAGAAACTGGAAGACAAAGGACTGCGCCAGGCGCATGGGCAGCACCGCCAGGAACATGAAGACTCCCCCGTCGAACACCGCGACTCCAAGATGGGCTAGGGCGTTGCGTGCTTTTTCATTGCGCAAGCCGACCTGAAGGGGGATGGGGAGGGAGTAGGGGCGAGGGGGAATGAGGGTTGAGTGAGAGCGAGGAGTTGAGAACAGTGGCTTTCCTCTTTTTTTACCTAACTGCACAGACATGCAAAGTGCAACACAGCAGCACAGCAGCAGCAAGAAGCAAGCAAGCAGTGTCGTACCTGGGAGAGAAACGAGAAGGCGATGAAGGCGGAGTAGTCAACAACAATGCCGACAGAGAGCAGCACTGTGATGGAGGTGACCGAGTTGAACCCCATGCCCGACCAGTACAGGAACCCCACGAGCTCTAGACCTATGAACGCCACCATTGCCGCTACCAGGATGCTGGAGAGGGGGAGGGGAGGGGGAGCGGAGGGGGAGAGAGAGGGAGAGGGAGAAGGGGAGAGAAGGGAGGGAACGGGAATGGGAGAGAGGAGGGTGGATGAGATGAAAGAGAGCTACGTGACAACGGAGAGGAGCACGGTGCTTGAGGTGAAGCCAGAAAACAGGTGCATTAATGCCGGGTGAGTGAGGATGTGGGAGTGTGAGCGAGTGTGCGTGCGCATGCGCATGTGCATGAGCATGTGCATGAGCATGTGCATGCGTGCACTTGCACATGTGAGAGGAGAGGAGGGGGCGTACCTGCATGCGAGGTCAGCGAGCACGAGCAGCATGATGACAAACACGACAGCGCCGGCGATAGCAACAGCCAGGACAGTGTCGTGCTGCAGCACGGCATAGCCCTCAAAGAAGATGAAGAAGTAGGAGAAGGCAAACGACTGCAGGGACGGCGCTGCTGCTGACACTGTTTGCCTTGTCGACACCATCGCGTCAACCTGGAGGCGGAGGGGGACGGCGGAGGAGCAGGGGGAGAGGGCCGGGGGGAATGGGGGAAGGGGAATGGGGTTTGGGGAGGGAGGAGAGATGTGGGAATTTTGAGACGTCTCAAAACTACACTTTTAAGATGTGGGAAGCAGGATATTGACAGCGAGAACAGTGTCATGCTGCAGGACGCCGTAGCCTTCAAAGAAGATGAAGTAGGAATAAGCCAAGGACTGTAGAGACGGCGCTGCTGCCGAAATCGTCTGCCTTGTTGACACCATCGCATCCACCTGTGGCCGGGGGGGGGGGGGGGGGGGGGGGGGGGAACGAGGGAGGCGGTGGAAAGGAAGAAGGGGGAAATGAAGTTTCAACGGGCCATTGCTCCCGCCCTGCAACCCCCTCTCCTGCAACCATTCAAAAGAAGACTCCGTGTTTCCCCTCCCATTCCCCCACCCCCTTCCCTGCTCCTGTCCCTCTCCCCACCCCTACGCTCCCCCACCCTGCCTCCCCCTCTCCCCCCCGCACCTGAGTCTGGCTGTACACGAGAGCGTTGGTGAGGGCGAACATGCGAGAGGAGAGGATGACAGTGCCGTTGCTGCTGTTGGTCCCTGGCTGCAAACACCACGTCCGTCTGGAACAACTTTCTACTCCCCTTTCCCTTCCCCACCCCCCCGCCCCCTCCCCCCCTTTTCACACACCTCCCACCCACCCCCCCCGCACCTGAGTCTGGCTGTACACGAGAGCGTTGGTGAGGGCGAACATGCGGGACGAGAGGATGACAGTGCCGTTGCTGCCCGGTGCAAACACCACGTCCGTCTGGAACCGCCGACCCATCAGCGACGCCAGGAACTCGTGCAGCCATGAGTAGAACAGCGCTGACGTGGGGGGGCTGGCGGAGGGTGGGGGGAGGGGGATGGTGGGGGAGTGGGGAGGATTTGAGGGGAGGCGGAACTCGTGTAGCCACTGGTAGAAGCACGCTGACGTGGGGAGGGTTAGCAGGGACAGAAAACACAGGAAACACGGAAAGCAAGGCAGAGCAGACGCACCGGCCCTGTGGGGTGAGCTGGCCCTTGTGCGGGGACGCGCGCAGCCACTTGTGATGTACCAGTCGTACCACGACTGCACGGGCGGCGCCGAGCCCACGTACGGGTCGCTCTGCAGGGGACGGGACACGTGGCACGGGGAGGAGGGAGATGCGCGCGATGAGGGATGGGGATGCGGGATAGGGATGAGGGATACAAGTCGGGCAATGCGCGGGGAGGGGAATGTTACTGGCAATGTGAAAGGCGGAAGCAGGGAGGGGAGGAAGGCACTGGCATGCATGGCAGGCAAAACCTCAATGACTGCTCTAAACCCCACAGCCCAACCCAACCTTGCCTCCCCTGGATACTGTAAGTCTTACCATAAGCATCACTGCCCTTGACCCTTGCCCCTACCGCATCTCCCCACCCTCCCCATTCCCCTCGCCCACGTTTCCCCCTTACCATTTCCCTCTCCCCTTCCCCCCCCCATTGAAACCTCCCCATTCCCCACCCAACCATTCCCCGCTCCGCGCACCTGCAGCGCGGCGCTGAGCGCAGCGAGCTCGTCCTGGTAGTTGAAGTAGTCCAGCGGGGCTCCTCCGCCGGTTGCGCCGCTTCCGCCGATTCCGCCGCCGTTAATTCCAGGGTTGCGCGTGTACGCGTACACGGGGAGCGCGCCTTTCCCCGCGGATCGCGGGAACGTCGCGCGGCGCACATCAAACACCTTGAAAACGTACGCGTTTTTAGGCACCAGCCATTCCATGTTAAAGTCGTTGCGCACGTGCACTGCGCCGTACACTCCCCACGCGAGCAACCCCGCTGTAAGCAGCAACACGACAATCTTCCCCACAGGATGCAGAATAACTTTAGGGACGTACGCTCCGAATACCGTGTGGAGAAAGTCCGGCTTATCCGGGTCGTACTCGCGTCGGCAGCAGCCGTCGTTCGGACCGGCCGTGCTGACGACGCAGCAGAACACATCCATGCGGTTTTCCCGCTGGCGGAACAGGTCTAGCGTGAGGCACGCAACGAAGAACGTGGTCTGGTAGATAAAGACGAGAATCACGCCGACCGCCGCGTAAATCATAAAGTCTCGCAACGCCGGCAGCTGCGACGAGATTCCCGTGCAGAACGCGACGAAATTCGTCGCCGCGGCGACGATTACCCCGCGCCGCGCGCGCGCCACGGTCACCACGATGCGGTCCGAAATCGACGAGCCCGCCATTTCCTTCCTCGTTTCGTCGTGCGCGGCGAGAGTCACTAGCATATCGTCAGTCCCTAGGCCTAGCAGCAACAGCGCGAGGGACTGCGTAACCAGCGAGAATCCTAATCCGAAGAGCGAACACAGGCCGTACGATCCGAGCACCGCGAGTCCTACGGAGATGAAATTCGCGAAGGATAGGTGCGACTGGGAGTATACGGGATGGGGCTTGTGCAGAATCAGCATGCTGTACCCGACAAGGAGCACCGCGCTAACGCCCTGTAAGAACAGATCCGTTGTAAGCGCGCTATCCGCCGCGGCTTGCTGCTCCCACGGCGAGAGAATAAAGACGTCCACATTCGGGTTAGAGTACGTCTTAACGACGGGCGTCACGGTGCCACGCCTCGACGTGCTTATCCACGTCCTTGCTCCCGCGGCCCGGCTTGTGGTTCTGTAGGTAGAGCGCGAGCAGGAGCGCGTTCGCCGATGTGACCTTGCCCGTCGCGTTGTCGTGCTGCATCTGCCCGATCACCCATTCCTGCGGCACGGGCTGCCCGAACCGCGTCTGCGTGGCGCAATGAAGAGGGCGATGGACGGAATGGGGATCGACGGGAAAAAAATACAGCGGGAGGGTGGGGAAAGGAAACGATGACGGAATCTCACCAGCGCGCAGCGGCGACTAGTGAGACAAGGCCCAAATAAAAAAACCCCAGTCCAGACAAACCCCGCTGGCAACAGAGAGACGGAATCTCAGACGGAATCTCTCACCATCACGTAGGGGCGGTTGAACGTTTTAAGGACGTCGTTGTCCGCCTCGATGCGCGCGCGGTCGAAGTCCCAGGAGTCCAGCACGCTCGCCGCCTGGCACGGCGTGCCCGCGCCGGCCGGCCTGTAGCAGATGCGATCGCTCTCGTAGCTGAACGTCGAGCCGTCGAACGTCGCGTTCGTGCTGCGGGTAACGGGCGCGCGGCGCGAGGCGGGGAGAGAGAGGGCGCGGGGGAGGGGGCGGCAGACGGGGGAGAAGGAGTGCGTGCGAGGATGGGGAATGTGAGGGGTGGGGAGCGCGGGGGATGGGGAACAAGGGTTGCGGGACGTCGAACAAGCGGGCAACAGCAGCGTAAGGACAGGAACCTGGGTGGCGGCGAAGAAGGGTGGCGACTAATGGCGACTAACCTGAGAACGAGGTTGTAGACATCTAGCAGCGCGAGTAGCGCGTCTTTTGTGAGCACATTTCCCGTCGTGCCGCCTTTGCCCGTCACGTAGATCTTCACGTCCAGTTGATCGTAGCCGTACACGCTGTCCACGTAATCCTGCACGCGCACACATGGACGAACGTGAACAGCTTTAGCGGCAGCGCCACGAGCTTCGTCCTCGTTACAAGCACATCCCGCTAGTAGATTCACAGGCAAGAGCAGATTCACGGTGCGGAAAGCGAGCAAACCACTGTGGCGAGGTTTTCTCTACAAGGTTCAGCGTGGATTTCATTTTCAAGCGGTGCCGTACCCGGTGTACGAAAGCGATGTTGCCCTGCGGCGTGTAGAGGTCCTCGACATTGGTTACCACCTTCAACCGTATCATGCCGAGCCCGAGCAGTAACCCCACGCCCACCGTCGCTGTCATCACAGCGAGAGGTCGCCTAGCGACGAATCTAGCTATCACGCTGAAAAACGCCATGAGCCCGTAATCCACGGCGACTCCCAGGCGCCGCAATAGGCTCCGTCGCGGCCATCTGCGGCGCTTCGTAGGCTCCTTCGCGCAATCTGCTGTATCCTCTTTAGTGGGTTCTTCATTAACGGGATCTTCGCGCCCGAACGACCGGTCTGCTCTATCCATGCTTTCGCCGTCGTCGTGCGATGTTGGATGCGAATCAAAATTCCGTGTGTCTACACGCATTTGCCATTGGATGTGCTATGGTTGAGGGGATTTATTTACTAGCGTCTCTCGTGTTGGGAATATTCAAATCCTCGGATACCTTACTGAAGAAAAGAGAGGACGAATTCTCGACGTCCTGCTATGGAACGATTGACAGAGAGTTGGGTAACGGTTCTTCCTCTGACTGTCCTTGCTCTCACTTCTCCGACGTCCGTGGTCGTTACTTTGCTGCACTTGGGCATTCACTCACGCACGGGGGGATGATGCAGCCGCCACAAGCTCATTCATGGGATGATCACTAGACCGGAGACGAGAGGAAATGAGAGCAATGGAAATGTGTGGAAGGCAAGAATCTTGACTGGAGATGAGAGGAGATGAGCAGACAGTGGACAGTAAAATTTCCACCGAGCAAACTTTCGTTCGAACCCAGACAATTCTGCCAAACCATGTTTGCCCAAGCCTCGGGTTTGAATTGAGCTACGTAGCAAGGTACAGTACATGTTTCGACTGTACGCCGCGCCGCAGCACGGCGGTGGGCTGGTTCGCGCGCCTCACGAGCACAGGGCCTGGGACCTGACCTGACCGACGGGCGACAACGCGCGAGTTCGCCATGTCCTACCTCCTCGCCGCCGCCGCCGACATTGCTCCTGCCCTGCCCTGTCAGTCCAGTTCTTCCGAGGAAATGACGGATCGCCTTGGTTTCAAGTTTCCGATTCCTTTAGGCAGTGGCTTTGACGCCGCCTCGCTTCTCCGCTCGCGTCCGATTCCTTGGGGCAGCTGATTTCGACATTTCCAATTTCCTGTGACCAGGAAAATTCTGAAGATTACCTGGTTTTAGTTCAGGGGCCAGTGGAAAAAATAACCCCTCTCGGATAGCTGGCCATTTGGGGGGCATCAACCCTAAACACCTTGCCTCATGGTGTTTAGGGTTGATGCCTCCCAAATGGCATGCCCTCCATGAGGGGTATATATTTTTTGTCCCGAGCTTCTCGTAATTGACGCGACACTTCAATTTATGCTAGCCCGATAAATAAGCACAATATTAGTCTCTGGACTCGAAAAGGGGCAATACCGTAAATAGCTGACCGAAGGTATCGGACTCGAGCGCAAAGCAAGACGGTGTCAAAACCACTGCCGAAAGGAATCGGAAACCCGAAACCAGGGCGATCCGTCATTCCCTCAGTTCTTCCCTAGCCCCCTTTCTCCGCAACGCCAAACCGATTTGGTGGCGTTTTCCAGAACTTTCTGATATTGAATTAAATACGACTTGCAGAGTATCAATTGTTCGCACTTACGCTACACTAGAATCCAACATGCGCTTTCACCCTTGCTTTCACTCGGCGTTACCTTGCTCCACCCCCCGAGCTTGACTTCCACACTCTCTTACAGTACATTCCTGCTTTCCCCGCCCCCCCCCCCCCCACCACACCCCACCCTCCCCTCCATGTACAATACACTGCTGGCCTCCTCATGTCACACATTTCTGAACCGAATGTCACAGGTACCGCGCGGCCCAGTCACACAGCCGACCTAGGTTGTGCTTCGGTGCTTGCCAGGGTTGGCTCATTCTGACAACTTGAATGGCTGAGATGCCGGCTCCAGAGTGGACATGTGTCCCAGATTGAGACCGATAGGGCCATTTGCTTCTTTGTCGTTTGGAGATCCGAGCCAACCTTGTTGATGGGGAAAAAGGAGGAAGAAATGAGGGAAGTGGTACTGTACCTGCCGTGTGGTGGTGACCCAACCAAGAAATTAGAGGAGTGTACTGTGTTCAAGTGAGTTTCTTTGTGGGTTGCTTTTATGGGTGCAATGAATCGAGGTAGCGAGGATTGCACTAGAGTGTTGAATGAGTACAAAATATGAGCTAAGGCATGAGCGAATACTTTATGCGAAAATGTGCAAACGTTAACGCGGTGCATGCGAGCTAGCTAGTGCTACGCTGGCGCGAGGTTCGGGCTAGTTTCGAAGCGTAGGCCGACTCGGCTGCTCCAGCAGTGCGAGGTTTGGTGAAACAGTGCGCGCGAAGTTGGCGAAGCCCCGTTAGCAGTAACGGGCGAACAACGGCGGCTGCTGTACGCGATGTGGACAGTCGCGGTAAGGAATAGCGAGAAAAATCCTTACACTACCCCCCCCCCTCCCCCCCCCCCCTGCCCCCCCCCCCCCCCTCCCCCCCTCCCCTACGCGAGTGCGTGTATATCGCGGAAAACCCGGCTCCTCAGGTACACTTGCAGGGCGGGGTGGTTTTCGATGTTGGCCGGAGGCACCCAGCTATCCTCAGTTAGCATGCGGTGTTAAGAAACCAAATGAAGTTAGAAATGAGAAAGAGAGGGGTTTCACTAGCAAGCAGTTGAGTACATATAGCAAACCCTAAATTGGGCTGTACTCACTATTGAGTACCCCACTGCAGGCTAGACAAAACATAACATTCTGACACACCCCCATAGCCAAAGTGGGGTGTAATCAGCACAACAAGCAAAGCAAAGCAAGCTCAGGGTGGATCACAATATCACCACACATTCTGAGCACAAGTACAAGAAGCAACAGTTTAAAGTTCACAAATGTAAGCAAAGCTAGAGGCTATCGCAGAGGGCAAGTGTGAAGGAGGAGGGACTATGAGAGGAGAGGAGGTAGTGGGCGGCAGCTGAAGCTGCTGGCACACGGCGCAACTGGAGCAACTGGCACACGGGCAACTGGAGCAACTGGCACACTGGCAACTGGAGCAACTGGCACACGGGCTACTGGAGTAACTGGCTCCGCGACTAACTCTGAGCTGCAGGAGCAACGGACCCACGGGCGACTGGAGCAACTGGCTCACGGGCGACTGGCGCAACGGGCTCACGGGCTACTGGCGCAACGGTCTCACGGGCGACTGGAGCTGCGGGTTTCACGGCGGCCACCCCCCTTCAACCTCCCCAAACTATCCCACCCCCCTTTCACACACCCCTTGCTGCACCCTAGGTTCACTCACACTCCAACTGCTTGCTAGTGAAACCCCTCTCTTTCTCATTTCTAACTTCCTTTGGTTTCTTAAAATGGTATCAGAGCAGGTCGACCCTCACGGGTCGATCCTGTGGATGGACCCACCAATGCTTCCGCTGCTGCTGTCCTGCCTATCGCGCGCCTCGGGCGTGCACTATCTTTCTTCCTGCCGCGCGCCCATGGCGCGCGGCCCTTTTTTCTTCCCGCCGCGCGCCCCTAGCGCGCGGCGGTTTGCTGCCCGTCGCGGCCCCTTCGTGGCCCCCGTCACGGCCCCATCGCGGCCCTGCCCCGGCCCTGCCCCGTCGCCTGCTGCCGCCCCGTCGCGGCCCCAGTCGCGGCCCCGCCCCGGCCCTGCCCCGTCGCCCGTCGCGGCCCTGTCGCAGCCCCGTCCTGCTGCCGCCCTGTCGCGGCCCCGTCGCGACCCCGTCGCGGCCTCGCCCCGGCCCTGCCCCGTCGCCTGTCGCGGCGCACCGAGGGCTCGCACACCCTCCCCCCCCCCCCCCTTTTCCCGTCGCCTGTCGTGGCGACCTGGGGGGCCGCGCGGGTCGCCCGTCCCCCCCCCCCCCCCCCCCCCCCCCCCCCCCCTGTCTTCGTCACGGCCCTGCCCAGCTGCCGCCCCTGCTGCGGCCCTACCCTGTGTTAGGGTTTGGGGGTGGCGAGTAGGGGGTGGCGGGTGTGTGGCATCACCTGCTCCTCCTACTTCGTCTCCCACTGCTGCAGCTGCCGCTGAGGGGTGTGTGTGTGTGGGAGTCGACGGAGTGGAGTATATATAGCAAACCCTAAATTGGGCTGTACTCACTATTGAGTACCCCACTGCAGGCTAGACAAAACATAACATTCTGACATGCGGTCCTTCCAACGAACGAGGAACTCGGTCCTCTTGATGCCTGTGGGGTGGCGAATCCGATGGCTCATATTTTTTTCGGGCTCGATGATCAGCTCCGATGCAGGGTGGGTCATGGATGGCGGGCGGTGACGAGGCAGTTGGCTCGTGCTTGGGATGTAAGGGCGAAGCAGGCTGACGTGGAATGATGGGCTGATGTACCAGTCTGTCGGCAACAATAAGTGGGCGGTAACTGGGGTGATCATGTGGCTGATTTGAAATGGTCCACAATAGCGCGGTCGTAATTTCGGTACGCCGGACAATCTTAAGTTTTGTGTGTCGAGCAGTACGTAATCCCCTGATTGGTACGTGACTGGGCGGCGGTGGCGGTCAGCGTTGCGTTTAGCGATTACGTTGGCTTTTTAAATTGCTCCTGCAGCTCTGGTGTGGGCAGCTTGCAGAATCTCGGCAAATTGCTGTGCTCGTGGCGTTGGGTTGTCCGTACTTGGCGTCATGGGCACTGTTGGGTTTTGCCCGTAGTTCATGTAAAATGGGGACTGCTGCGTTGTCACTGACGTGGCGTTGTTGTAGGCGAACTCGATCAGCGGAAGCTGCTGCTCCCAAGTTGTCGGGTCGTCGCACGTGGCCCGAGTCAATTGCTCCATCGTCTGATAGGTCCGCTCCGTTTGACCGTCGGTCTCGGGGTGGTACGATGAACTGAACTGTAGCCTGGTCCCGAACTGCTCCCAGAGGTTCTTCCATAAGTTGCTGGTAAACTTCGTGTCGCGGTCGCTGATTATCGCGGCTGGTATCCCGTGCAGTCGAACGACGGCTGCGATGAACAGGCGAGCGGTTTTTTCGGCTGAGATTGATTTCTTGCACGCAGCGAAGTGAGCCATTTTCGCCAGTCTGTCAACGACGACCATAACCGCGTCGTTACCCCTAGGGTTCGAAGGTAACCCCGTGACGAAATCCATCGTAACTTGCTGCCAGGCGCGCT